TCTTTTTCCTACAAAAGGTGACAAAGAACTGCAGGGGAACTTGCAAAAATGAAAACAGTTATGTTAGGGCAGAGTATTATGAGTTATTATAAGTATTGACTATTTACAATGTGCTGGGTTCAGTGCCGGGCGCTGAGGATGGAGCAGTGAATTAGAATGTATTTCCTTGCTCTCCATCTACAGCTTCAAATCTAATGATGGATTTTTTTTCCCCTAAATGTCCTTCAGAGTTGTCATAGCATCATCTTCCAATAAAAAATAGCTGATGAGAGAAATAAGCGAGGAAAGGTACTCCTCTCCTTCTGGGTAATGTATTTCATTCCCGGCATCAGAGCCGCCTCCAGCTGGATTACATACATGTCAGAAGAAAACCAAATGTAAATGTGGTAGTGACATTTCGGACTCATAATGTCTTAGTTTCCTTTGAAGCAAAAACATTTTTAAAACTCCATGTTAAAAAAGAAGTAAAAAGTTAGGACTTGTTACTAATCTTGCAGTTGAAAAATTAAGTATGCCTAATTCTGCAAGTAGCAAGCTAAATTATGCAGTGCCAAAAGTGACATCTCTTATACCTACACCATCCCGGCTACAGCGGCATGGTTTTAGCTTCATAGCTAAAATATGCTGCCAGAAAACCTAATAAAAGGAAGCAAAAATATTTCTGTTTATATCAAGCTGCCATTTGAGAGAGACTTTTAAATATGTTCTTCCCTATGTGTAAATCTGACAGCAGTTGCATAATTAAAACCCCAGTGGAGAGTTTCCTTTTAATCTTTTCAAAGTAAACCAATAAAACATCCTTTAGGATGTGAAATTATGGATTAATACCCTTTGGATTGCTTGAATATCTTTGAGCTAGGGCCTGACTCCAAGAATACTATTTAGTACTAAAAGAACACCAGCCAGTGTCTTTCTCTTTAGGAGTTCATGTAATCACGGGAGATGTAGATAACATGCCAAAGGCGACACATGCATGGTTATGAGTTCTGCTTGTCTTGGATTTTGTTAAATGGAGGGATGAATAAATGGATGCATTTACATTAAAACAAACTTGATTTCAACCCCCTGCAAATATGTCATATAGCATAAATGGCAGAAGTAATAATTGCCCAGGATTTCAGTTCAGTGTAAGCAATCAATATAAATAATTTAGACCACAAAGTGGATTTTCATTTTGCTTAAGCTATTGAGACTGACTTTCTATTCAGCCTCAACTACCACTGAACAGCCACTGGCATATCTTCCCACTGGGTCTATGTTGTATGGACAGTTGCAAATTACCTAGCTCCGGATATGGGCCTTGTTCAAGCCAAATGTCAGGACAAGTATTCTACCTCATCATGGTGTTTCATCTAACATGAGTACATACAGCCACACGTGAATTTTTCTTCTGTGTCTCCCTCTAGCTGAAGGCCCATTCCTGCCCCTTCTTCCCCTCCCCTACACACACACACACACACACACACACACACACACACACACACACACACGTGCAAAAGAAGGCAGAGAGAAAGTGGCTGCTGTCCTTGGACCAGAATTTACCTGAATGTCTCCTACTTGCTAGCATTTCTGTCTCTAACCTTCTTGGTACTGGCTCTTGCCTTCCCAGCTGTCTAAGACTTACCAGATGCTTCTAGTCTATCTGACCTCTAAGATGTGTCTGATCCTTCAAGTTTTCTCTGGACTTAATCAACTGTTGGCCTGACCAACAGACCAGTCCTTTTGCTCAGCCCTGCTGTAGTGTCTGTCAGACACACACACAGATACACACACACACACACACACCCGTTATTAAATACTTCAGCCTCAAACAGGAATGTGCCCACCAATTATATCAATGAAACTGGTAGAATAAACACTGCATAACTTGGATTCTGGACCCAGCTGAATACATAATTAACTGTGACCTGAGACACGTCCCTTAACACTCTGAGCCACATGGGATTGGACCAAAGGACCCCTCCTTGTTCCAGTCATCATCAGTGAGGCTAGCCAAGATGTGGCGCCCATGAACACTGCAATCCAACTGCCCCTGTTGGAATATGCTTCAACCTTTGTCTTGTAAAATAAGCTTTAACCTTTCAACATATTAGCACTTGGGGCCTGATATACACAAAATATCATACTTATGGGATGAATTAAGAAAGGGTTTTCTACACTAAGGTCTAGATGAATCATTTAGTTGGGTCTATACAATACAAGAAAATGTCCACACTGCTGCATGGACCATACACACTGTGATATTCAAATAAAACTGAGTGCGTGCTGATTTTCCTCTTCGCTGGATGAGGTGGCAGATAGAGAATACTCACTGCCCATTTTGGATTCAGCTTTGGCTCCCTGAGCTGCAGAATCCATAAAAGCACCAGTAATAATAATTGTCTCTGAAGACTCAGGGCATTTAAGGGAAAGGAACTACATAAACAGAAGTGAAACTGCCGTATGTAGGTCTTTACTTAAATCTCATCCAAGTACATTTTGCAAGAGAACCCTGAAATAAAAATCATGCTACTTAAGGATTCAGCAGAACTTATCTGACAGAAGTGACCAATCTGAACCACTGCCCCAGACCACGTCAGCAGGTGGATAACTGACAGAGACCCTGCTACTTGTGTGGCTCTCTTGGCACCTCTGCAAAGGGGCTAGTTCAATGCTGAGCTGTCCACTGGCTGGTTCTGGTCCTGAGTGCAGCTCTTCTCAGAGATAACTATCTCCCTGCAGCAGATTTTGGAAACAATGTGCTGGGTCATTTGTAACATAGCCACCAGCTTCAGCATAGCCTCCTACAATGCTTGCCTACATCCCAAAACACAAATCAAGAAACAGAACATAGTTTCTTTCTGCTTGACTAAAGAACAGCCAATCCTGCTTGTAGATTAAGGGCTCGGGCTTGGAACAATTTACCAACACGCTGACTTGATTTTGTGCAAAGAACTGACAGAAGCTGCAGAAGCCATGGCTGGGCAGTGAATGAAGGCATTGATGGGAGCTCATCAGAAAGGCACAGAGACCACAGGTCACTGGAATGAGGCCCCATTTGGATAGACTCATGGCCTGTAGGGGAAGGGGACACTGCTCCCACCTTTTCCTTAACCTGTGGGTTCCATTAGGAAGCCAAGGTCAGAACACACCGCTGGGAAAGAAAGGCTGTGGCTGCCCAGTATGTGCACAGGTTGCCTCTAGGTGAAAGCAAAAGGGTGTGTTTACAAGAGGAAGAGCATAAATCAATAATGAGCTATGAACACATGATGTCATCTTCCAGGACTAAGCATCTTTAGTACTTTTAAAGCACTTAAAAAAAAAAAAGAAAAAAAAATTCTAGTTGCTATAGCAACTTGATGCAGCTCTTAAAAGGGGATTTTTTTTAAGGGGGTCATTTTATATCTTCAATCACCATAACAACATGATATAGCTTTTAAATGGTATTTTTATCCAATTTGTGTGTACTTTGGACTTGGGCCACATTTGTCTTTTCTATTTAAAGTCATCAGATCAAACATGACACAGGAAAATTCATTGAAAGGAAGCCCTTTCGTAGACTATACATATACACTCAGAGAGCCATCTCTAGCTGCTCATATTCTGCACATGGATGCAGTCTTTCTCTCTGCCTCCCAGCAGCCACCTACAATGGCTTACACTGGTTAGTTAGTCCATTCCCCCGTCTCTAAGCTGGCATACCAATCCAGCCCAGAACCCACCCACAGAAGGCGGGCCGGTGCAATCCCTCACCTCTCAGCCCAGTGAATCCAGTCCCCTCCTCCAAAACTACCATCGGGGGATAGTGCTTAGGGGTGACTAGAGGCATGACCAGCCAAGGGCCTTCTTCCACCCTGGGACTGGAAGCAGGAGTAGATGAGACACCAAGTCTTGCCAAAGTGAAAATCTTGTATTTATTCTGCACTCTATACAGCAACGGGAAGAGGTCTGTTTCACGTGACACCCAGGGCCCAGGGAAAGGGGGGGGGGATGGGGAAAGTGGGTGAGAGGAGAATAAAGAGAGGGACAGGGTGGAGTGGGGAGCAGTGATGGCTCCACAATCTCTACAAGAGAGGCTCAGAGGAGGGGCGAAAGAAATAGGGGGGCTTCGAGGAATAGTTACACAGCATTTTTTGTACAGTTGCAAAATCATGAACTATTTCACCAAAAATAAGAGGAAGGGATGATGGAAGGTATAGAGAAACTACCCCCTGCACCCAAGCTACCCCCTTGGCGCCACTATTGGTTGGAAAAGATAGCAAGGTAACAAAGAAGAGAGGTCAAGAAATTGGAGGGGAAGCTGGAAATGGGGAGGGGGGAAGTAGGAGGAGAAAACCAGAACCAGAGCGGCTGCAGTCCTATTCTCCAAGTCTAATGGGGTGGTGTAGACTGAAAAAAAAAAAAAAAGATGCGAAGGAGATCTAGGGATTCGTCTGGGGAAACGGTCGCCTTCCCCAGGGTAAAAGGGCTGGAGGACTCTGAGGGAAAACGCGTGTAAAAGAAGGAAGGAGAAAGAGAAGGGAGGTAACAACGCTGTGAGTGGAGAGAGGAAGGGTTTTGCAAATCACCTGGATGAGGAAACCGAGGACTAGGGGGCGTGAGAAATAAGAAGGAAGCAGCAGGCCCCTGATACATGTTCCCCCAAGTCCTTTTTTAGAAGCCAAAACTGAGGCACAAGCGGTTAGGTCACGCAGCTGGCAAGTGCTGGAGCGCGGGCGGCCCCCCGTCTGCCCAGCGCCCGGGTGAGGGTTCTCCCCGTTTGGCCTCTTTGCCAGCCAGTCACCGCTGGGTGCGCGCCAGAGATGGGCCTCTCAGGCCACCTCCCGCGCCGAAAGCCAGCAAAGAGGGAGACCGAGCAGGAGGAGGGGGACGGGTGGGGAGAAGAGGGCGAAATGAAAGTAGGCAGCGGGGCCTCGGAAGGGAAGAGGGAGCCGAGGGACGCGGCTCGAGCCCCCAGCAGTGGAAAGGGCGGCAGGTGAAAGACGCGGAGAGGAAAGTCGCCCGCTGGGCGCGCCGCTCACCTATGGTCGACACCACGGTGCCCACGAAGTAGAAGGCGCCGGGGAAGTCCCAGCGCGGGCGCAGCGCGTCGGCTCGGACGCCGGCTGCCAGCGCGGCCTCGTAGTGCCGGAGGAAGGCGCGCAGCTCCGGCTCGGCCACTCCGTGCGCCGCGCTGAAGTTGCGCAGCGTGGCGCCCCAGCGCGCCCGCGCCTCCGCCTCGCCCGGGCTCTCGAGCGCCGAGAAGACTGTGGCGCCAGCCACCAGGTAGAGGCCGATGAGCGCCGCCAGCAGCACGAAGCGGCCCGTGTCCTCGTTGAGGTGCGAGCGGCGGCAGCAGCAGCAGCAGCAGGAGGGGCGCGG